ACTTCTATAAATATCAGCCTAAAATGTAGTACTCTAGAACAATTAATCACAGATAGAAAAGTCATGAATCCATGGTTAAGCCATACCCTTGAGCCTTCCATTTTCACTAGGGCTGAGTTAGCTAAAGTCGTCACAGTGTGTATGATTACCCATAAGTTTAGTGCATCGTTGGTTACCAGCGAGAAATCAGCTGTGTCCTTGTCCTTTATACGCACTGCTAGGTGATCAGTTATCCTACTGCTTCTCTGTAATGTGTGAATGTCTGTCTGTCTGCTTTCCTTCCTTCCTTCCTCTCTTTCTGTCAGGATAGAGGGCAACAGGAAGAATGAGCTCACTAAAACTATTCTTTGACTAAGTAATCCACTTAGCTGAAAAAAAAACAACATTCTGAATGATAAGTAAGTAAACAGGCAAACAAAAACATATGTAAAATTGTTATTGTTGGTGCAAAACCTTTGTAGAAGGCAGGAAACTCAGTGGTTTTATAGCACCCATCCCCTTGATTGCTTGGTTTTCCTTTACAGAATTTTAAGTAGGGGCCACCCAATCTCTACTTAAATATGTCTGTTGATGCAAACTGTGTGAGCTTCCAAATCAGCCCAGTTGGTCTTTTAATGAGAATTTGCGTTGAGATGCTAGTAAGATTGCTCGGGTAGAAATAAGAATGCCCATGTAGGTTTTGGGACCATCACTTCTCTACCATTTAAAGTCTAACAGCAAACTTTCAGCCTGCTGCAGGTCTTATTATCATGCTTCAGAAAAGCTACTTAGAAAAATAACTAGGCAGTCCTGAAGTTCTGAGATTTTCCTTAATGGTATTGTTGCTATAGTTACAGCTGAACTGTTATATAAAGCAAATTGCTTATTGACAGAAAAATGCTGAGTAGCCCAGCAGCCTCCCCTTTTTGGGATTTTCATGCTTTCATTTCCTACTCTCCTCTTAAGATTAATGGATTTTTGGAGTATTGTTTTGAACAAACCCTGATGATTTGATGTTAAAATAAATAATTTTATTAACATATACTAGCTGACAATTGAATGTATTCTGGTATGTTCTGATCAATGTGGAGTTATTTTTTATACACTATTTGTTTATCAGAATTGTTCCTACTTGCAGATGAATTTTCATATCCTGGAGATTAACATTAAAGCACTAAAAACTGTGATTGGTCTCATAGTATAGAGTCTTCTGAATTTACTGAATACATTTAATAATACTATAGATGAAATATAAAGTTCTATTATGTTTATACCATTAGGAGATACATGTAGTATACTGAAAATAAAATACATTTTAAGAACATGGGAAAACAAATGGGAAAGGTCTGAAAGTATCCATAATAATGACAAATATGAATACAAAAAGGCTCCATAAGATGTATATTTTCTGCTTTTCTATGTAATAAACTCAGTAATAGAAATGCCTTTAGTTTATATATATATAATATGTAATACATTATATTATATATAATATTTATTTTCTGATTGTCTCACTGTCTTTATAAGGAAGTATTTCTAAGATAAAATCATAATTCATTTGATATTTAACCTTAAGGCAAAATAGAAATAGTCATGTGTTTCACAACTGTAACTATTATAGAAAGTGTGAATTCTGTGTCTGGTTAAAATCTTTTCAGCTAGTAAAAGTCGTCTATGGCAGTGATATATTATGCATTGAATTTTAATATAATTTAAGAAATCTTGCTCAATTCTCCAGATTACTACTGAACTAAAAGCATCATGAGTATTTAATAATTTTGTGTCTAATAATATTGTAGCTACTGAGGAACTAAGAGTGTAGATGCATTTCATTTTGAACCTGGAGATGTCATACCTCTTAATTAGGTTCCTGAATACAGTAGCACAAAAATCTTTGGAATTATTTTTAATAAAGAATGCAAAATAATTGTGAACCACATCTTATACATCTTATGTGGTTATAGACTATTTCCCCCATTTTTTTGTGTGTGAAGCACATTTTCCTAGTGATTGTGTTTATTTTTAATGGTGATCTGATAATGATGATGACCTGTATTGTCCTGAATGAAATTTCTTGAAAATTCATTTTTACTCTTTGTCAAAATTTAATCAGTTTCACTTTTCTCATTTCTACTTTTGATCTTACCCTACCCTCTGCGTTTTCCTATTCTCTCTTTTAATAAGCAAAATTTAAATATACATGTTTGAAGAAATATAAAACTTTTGATGCTCCTTAATGTTTTTTCCCCCTTTCAATTCCTTACTGATTTTAGAACTTCCTCTGCTTCCTGAATTTGTTGATATTCTAATTTTGGTTCTGGGTGACAGAAAGAAGAGACACACATATGAGACCACAAATTCAGCATTTCTAATTGGTGAAAAAAATATCCTTCCATGACTCACAGTTTATCAAAATCCTTATGTTCTAAATGGATTCGTCAGACAGTCCTGTTAAATCCATAGTATCCTTTCCTATTTCCTTAATATTCTACCTGCTTGCTCTACTTACTTTGACCCACATTTTATTTCTTCTACTTGAATGTGAGTTCCTGATTGAATAAGCCTTGCACATGTAATTTCCCCAGGAGATATGTACTCCATTGATATAAATAGACTGGATATATACAGAATAGATATGTAAGTGAATGATTTCGTAATAATTTGTCATAATAGTAACATCAGTTTCCAAATTAATTTTGTTGATAATTAATCAAAATGTAAACTCACAAAAAATTAGCCTGGGCCTTTTCTTATAATCTTACTCACAATACAAAGCAGTCAGGCAACCAACAGACCAAGTATAGCAGCATCATGTTAAAAATAATTGCATGTTAAAAATAACCGAATCAGGATGAGGATTTAAGCCACACTCGAATTTGAACTAGTCATTGAGGCTCTCAGGATAAGGTCCTTTTTCTCTTACATTGACACTATTATCTTCTCTTTGCCTTGCAGACCAGTAGTGAGTGGTACTGCTTGTAGGTGTATCAAACATTATTTTAAATCAGGAAAATAAAGTGACATAATAGATTAAATAGATTATACCCTTTATCCACTTACCTAAATTTTCAAATATATGAAAATAATAAATATGCTACCTTGAAATAGTCACTACGTGTATTTTCTTAACACATTTTCCTTTTAGCTAGAGCTGTGTACCATTGTGGTGTCATATGCTGTAAGTAGCAAAAAATGACAACTTTGTAAGAACAGTTTGTGCCTGAAGCTGAGATAAAATAATCACATGTTTGTAATTGACAAGAATTTCCAGTGAGGTGAAACCTTTATTTCTGGTATATTAAAAACTTTCTAACTCACTTGCATTAGGACATGTCCTGACAAGAATGCTTAGCACACACCTGCATTTGGTTTCTAGAATCCATCCATCCATGTGACAAAACAGCACAGTGACACAGCTATTTGTGTCTGGTTTTGTTTTTCAATATGTCAGTCTCTGAATGAAAATATTCTGAGATGTGGCCCCCATTAAGTAATGGTTTCTAAAACCACAGCACAGATGAAGAGTGATTTTCTGTAGGTATTATGGACGTACTTCCTCTAGGGACTATTCAACACAAGGGCTGGAGCTTTCAGAATCTGACATAAGGGATCAAGTCAGTTTCTTTCCTGAGACTTTATAAAGTTGCTATATGGAGAAGTTGCAATTCACTTTAGAGCTACTTAGACATGAGTTTAAGAAGAGAATTGGTATTAGGTGATCATAACACCAAAAGCAAATGAGCCCATAATACACACTAGTATTTTATAGACAGCCTTTCACCGAAGTTAAATAACTGACTTCATTCTTTACTCTTTTGGATCATCAAGTAAGAATTACAACAGCTTACAGATTGCAAAATAGTCATTATTATTAAGCAGCATTTTTTTTTGTCTTTAAAGAAATTGAAAGATGAAGTAAGAAATGAATCTTAGATCCCTAATAATATTCTAGAACAGTAAGTGATTTTTGTCTCTTAATGATTAAAGTTATGTGACTGGAAAGAGTGATCCAAAGGGAAAAGCAATTTGAAATTAAACTTGTCAGAAGACAATACAACATAGGAATGCAATATTATTTGCATGACTCTCCAACTGTGCTCTTCAGAGAAAAGATCTCATTAAATGGTAACAATTAGAAGCCATCTCTTTCACCTTTATGTCTTATAATAGGTATAATGTAAGAAAGAGCACAGCATACATCATCAGGAAGAGGGGATTTCTGCAATATTACTAGCCTAACAATCTGTCTCCCATGTGATCATTTATGTGTGTTATAAGACTGTAGTTCTCAGACTTTCATTTGCAGAAGAATTGACCAGCAGTTTACTTATTTTTGTTTATTTGTTTGTTTTGTGGGGTAGGTAATTAGGCTTATTTATGTATTTTTAATTAATTAATTTTTTTTTTTAGTGGCAGCACTGGGGATTGAACCCATGACCTTGTGCATGCTAAGCACACACTCTACCACTGAGATATACCCACCCTCTCCACTAGCTGTTTATTTAAAAGAGAGATCCTCCTCCTCCTATCCCAGGGTCCTGATAAAATTGTTTTGGTGTAGTTCCTAGAATTTGCGTATCTAAGTCCTAAAAAAAAAAAACCCTTAAGATTAATTGTTAAAAGATTACTGTGAAATTAAGTATTTTTTTTAATAAATGTATGACAGAAACACTAATTTTGAAAGCACTGGACTTGAAAATAGTTCTATTTGGAACCAATGCAATTTTTTTCAACTGAAAGATGGATATTCCCCTGGGTGTATCTTTAGTGCATTCTTTCCTTTTCTCTGTAATGAGATGAATTCATTGCTAATGTCTAAGGATTCTTCCTATTTTTAGATTTCAAATAGTCTTTTTTCAATCTTCTTTGAAAGTCACTGTTTCATTAATCCAGAAAACAATGACCCACCTTCTCTATATACAAAAAACAGCTAGAAATTGCCAAGTGTTAACCTTGGTAAATGTACCAAAAACAGATATATTATGATATAGTTAATCTTTTTATTTCTGTTTTATTTGCAGATTCAAGAATGGCTTTGTTTAAATTGCCAGACCCAGAGAGCAATGTCAGGGCAGCTTGGAGACATGGGCAAAATGCCACCTACACAGTCAGGACCAAAAGCCTCCCCTATGCCTGTCCCTACAGAACAACCGTCTCAGAAAACAGCAGTGCCCACGCAAGTAAAAGTGAAAAAGAAGGAACAAGAATTAAAAACAGAGGCTGAAAAGATCATTCCAGAAAAAGTAAAGGAAACACCTTCAGTTGAAAAAACTCTCCCTAAGGAAACCACAGATCAAATCCAAGAAGAGAGTAAACTAGAGAAAGACAAAATTTTAGCCCCTCAAGACAAAAAGCTACCTTCTGAAGACAAAAAGCCTCTTCCAGAAGACAAAAAGGCA